CCCCCTCCCACCCCCCCCCCCCCCCCCCCCCAACAACCAATATACCTCCTCAAGAATTGTTTATTAGGCTCCTTCACATGTGCATAGTCAATTTTTTTCACTGCTTCACTCATGCATAGTCAATATCTTTTGCACGTGCATAGTAAATCGAGTTACACATGTATACTTAATCTCTTTCATTATTTGACCAAATTACTTTGAATTGAATGCACGAATTACAAAATTTAAATTGTATGCACTTGTTTCAGCATTTTCACACAATTCACACATGCATAGTCAATTTCTTCACTACTTCATTCGTGCATAGTTAAATCTTTTTTACACTTGCATAGTCAATTGAGTTACACATGCATATTTAACTCGTTTCACTATTTCACTGGATTAGTTTAAATTGAATGCACAAATTATAAAAATTGAATTGCATATGCTTGTTTAGACTATTTCATACGATTTAGATGCACGTGTATAGACAAACTCTTTCATTACTTTACCGAATTACTTCAACAGAATGCACAAATTGCTAAATCGAGTTTCACATACTAATTGTTTAGGCTCTTTCACATCATAAATTTTGACTAATTAATTATCTTTATGAATATTTACCAATAACCAACACCCTTTTAAAAAAATTAATTTGCAATAATTTACTTTTACCGTATACATATATAAGCATACTAGTATTTGAGAACGTTCGTTACACGTTTATCTTCAAATACTTAATACAAAATTTATATTGCAAATGACAAATTTTAAATGATACTTGAGTTTTCTATATGCTTTTAATAATCAAAACATAAAATAAAAGAGTAACAACTCATAAGTTGTGGTAAGAAAGTGTTGCAAATTTAAGAGATAAGTGTCAAAAACATACCTAAACTATCTCATTTTCTTGAGTTTCATACCCAAACTATTAAAAGTGTAAATTTCATACCTAAACTATCACTTATTAGTTTGAGAAACACACATCTCTCTCTTTTATTACACTCTCTTCACGGTGTGTGTACTACACTATCTCTTTTATTTTAAAAAATTATCACCTCGATCACACTTCACATTGACAAAACATTTCACCTTGACAAAATTAAATAAATAATTAGTATTAGTTAAGATTAAAGAACTATTATCCCAAAAAATAATATTTTTTATAAAATAAAATGTAAAATATTCTTACCCACTCCACCACCCCACTTCCTCTCACCGTACCCCTCTCCTCCCCAAATAATAATTTAGATGTTATTATACTTTTAAAAAATAATTCAACCCCACCAAACTGTCCGCTTCTAATTGTTTTTCGTTCTGTGTTAGATATGTACTCTTTTAGAAAAGTTTTTACTTGCAAGATTTTTTCTTAACTAATTTTTTTTTATTTATGTTATAATTGGTACGCAAATATAAAAAAATAAAATTCCTAAAAATATATGTACATATCTAACACAAAATGAAAAAATATAAATAAATAAATAAATTTGGAGCGAAGGGTTAGCTAACTGGGGTAGAATATTTTTTTTAAATAAAATAATGTCAAAAATTTTTTGGTGAATGAGTGGGTGGTTTTCGTAATTAACAAAAAAATGTAAGAATTCACCACTAATTTATAATTAAATAAAAACAATAATATTTAATTGTTAAATTACAAAAATTATTTGACACTAATTCGAGTACTCCAATTAAAAAATCCATAATTTTCACATAATTAGTTCAAAAGTTACATGTTTGACAGAACCTACTGACTTTAGTCTAATTTTTTTTTTTTATTAAGACATTAATTTAAATATATAAAAACTATTAATTTAGAATCGAGCAATATTGTAATAGATTAATCCAAATTCTGAATTTGATCATACTTAAGCTTCAAATTCTGAATCTGACGCTAACGCCTCTGCTCACGTATACATACACATCCTTCTTACTTTATCTTGAACCCCACCCACCCACCCCCTCACCAACACCCCGTCCTCAAGGATAGCAATAATAACACCCCTACTACATTTAATGCAACTTCACCATCTCTACTTCACCTTGCAATTACTCCTTCTTTCCTCAATTTTCTTTTCTCTTCTTTGTAGCTTTCTCCTCCAATTCTCAAAATCCCTTTAAAGTCCATGTTGATGTCAAGGGGAGTGAGGTTTTGGGATATAGCCATTAGTAGGCCCTGAGCTTATTTCTAAATCAGTGTTATAATTTTCTTTTCTTTTCTTTTTTGCCTACCTGATATTTTTAATTCAAAAATGATAACATTATTTAACTTCTTAAAATTCATGACTTTTTTGGATCATATTTTCAAGCCAAATTTGAGAAATAAAAAAAATTCATAGATTAAGCTTCATTATTTTGACAAAACCTTATTTCCTTGGCCAAAATTAGAAACTCTTGTCAATTTCTTACAAATAATTTGACCTCGGAAAAATAGACAATCAAAATAAATACTCTCTCTTTCAATTTGTTTGGCCTATTTTAATAGGAAACAAAGTTTAAGAAAGTAAATAATATTTTTAAATTTTGTTGCATAAAAACATTTTTTGGGGCGAGCCTTGGGGTGGGGAGTACCAAAAACGCTCTGGGGCGCAAATTGAAGACATAGATTCATAGGGCATAAGTCCTAGAATTTGGGGCGTAATCTCCAAGCGTAAAAACGTAAGCCCTGAGCATAAAAACGTACGCCCTGGGCATTATTTTTTTATTTTATTTTTCTTTTCTCTAACTTTTTTTGCTTTAAATCATATTTATTATTATTAGCGTAATAATATTTCTCAAATAGTAATTGTAATATTTTTTTTTTCTTCATTATTGGTCATTAATACATTTCTCTAATAAAAATCATAATTTTTTTTCTATATATTATAGGTTATTTATTAAAAAATATTTGTAAAATAATTGATAGTTTTACTTTTGCTTATTTTTCTAGTAATAAAATTATAAAGTTGAATATACATGAGATTACGCACCGTAGATCCATAAAACTTACGCCCCATGTCTCGAAGCTTACGTCTCGTCCTGTACTGCATAAAATGTCTCGCCTCATGCCCCCGCCTTTTATAACACTGATCAAATGCAATAAAATATTTATTAATTTTATGGCCTTAAACATATCATGTGAAAAATCAAAATTAAAATTAAAAAATGATAAAAGGAAAGAATCGATCTTTTTAAATTAAAATAGAGAGATTATTAGTGATATCTAAAGAAAAAACTAAAAAAAAACTACTTGAAACTCCAGTATATTAGCTAAATAATTATACTATTAGTCTAGAATTAATTTCAGTCCAGTCATTCTATAGATTTGGCCAAAAATGATACTTGGAGATGTAAGATGTTTTCTATTAACATGAATAATTTAAAAATATAACTTACAACTTTTTTGGATGGTTGTTAGCCTGGTATCGTATTGTATTGTATTATTGGTTTAATTATAATATTTGTTTGATTGTTACTTAAATTCTATTGTATCGTTTAATTCTATCATTAGGTAACTACAAAAAGATCAATTTTATATAACGATTGATTTGATGTGATCACATCGTTATCTTAATATTTTTTTCTTACTTTGTCTTTATTTGTTATGTAATAATTATATTTTATTTTTTTCCCACCTTTTCATACTAGCTATATTCAATATCCTTTATTTTTTTAGATTTATCATTCAAATTATGAATATAACACATTGTGTAACAATAAAAAATGATACAATCTATTCAAATATTATATTTATTAAAATAATATAATAAATATAATACATTATAAAATAATACGTGACAATGTCCGAATAAAGCGATAAGTTTGGGCATAGTTTAAGAATGCATTGGCCAAATCCTCCTTTTATGTTCTCGTCTTCCTCAAAAGGTTTGAAAACAAACGCTAATTTTGAGAATCCATATGGTTCGTTCCGTTTTCAAATCGTTTCTAAATCTTCCTAAAACTATAACTAATATCTCCATATTAACACCTTCTTTTTATCGCCCAAATTCGATCTCCATTTCTCGCTCATACTCAACTCCAAGAATTTATTTATCAGTTGGCAAGAAAATTGGGTCATTGTTTTCTGTGCCCGTTGGAGAGCAATTTCAAGAATTTGGGTCGTTATTTTCAGCTAAATACAGCACTAATGGCGATGGAAATGTTGATACGGGAATTGGTGGAAGAGAGTACTTGTTGATGTCGGATGAGGAGTTGATGAAGCAGTGTGAATTGAGCACTTTCAAGGCTTCAGGTCCTGGTGGACAGCACCGCAACAAGCGTGAATCTGCTGTGCGTTTGAAGCATAGCCCAACAGGGATTATTGCTCAGGTTTGGTTTTGATGATTTGCTAGATTTTTATGACCCTTTTTGATTTTGAAATGGAATTTTATTTGTTTGGGTTTTCTTTAGGCTGTGGAGGATAGATCCCAACACATGAATCGTGCGTCTGCTTTATCTCGATTGCGAGTGTTACTGGCACTTAAAGGTATACCATCTACTCTTTGTTGTTCCAAAATGTTTCTTCCAGAACCACTGCCTTATTATATAAGACAAATTTATATCTTAAACTCTGTGGTTTGCGGCATGATAAACAGTTGTGTAGTATATGCTTATTAACTTTGAGTTTTCTGTTTGAGAATGGTTTGAGTTTGGGTTGTATAATTGTATCAAGTGATGATCTTGGAGTGCACTGTTGAGTTAGTAAAGTTGTGCCAGGACTACTAGTTGTGGAACCCATAAAAAGTAGTTTTTATACAATTAGGATGGGAGCTATAGCAGAGGGAGACCTACCTATTAGAGAGGGGGTCTGGAAACACATAAGTAGCTTCCAAGATGAGTTTCTTCAGAAAGTCTACTTCAAACCTGGGAATGGACTCAACATAAGATTCTGGTTAGACAAGTGGATTGGGGGTACTATTTTGAAGGAGTCATTTCCTATGATGTTCCAAATAGCCACCAACAAGGAAGCCATAGTGGCCCAATACAAAGTTGATAATATTTGAAGACAAAATTTTAGAAGGAATTTGCAGGACTGGGAAATTAATGAACTTCTTCTCTTGCTACAAACACTGAAAAACTGTAACTTAGATGTTAATAATTCAGATAGACTACTTCGGGGAAGCTCTTAAGGTTTCCTGTTTTGCATGGACTGCCCTGCTTAAGGCATGTTTAACACAAGACAACCTTAGGAAAAGGGCATCATTCTCATCAACAGATGTCTTTTCTGTAAACAAGACAATGAAAGTGTCAACCATCTTTTTTTGCACTGTCCCACAATAGTTGGCATATGGCATTTTTTCTTCTCATTGTTTGGCCTCCAATGGGTTTTTCCCCTCTCCATCAAAGATGCTTATGCTAGCTGGATATGTAGGAGAGTTGACAACACCATCAAAAGTACTTGGAGGATGATCCCAACAGTAACTTTTTGGAGCATTTGGAAAGAGAGAAACTGCAGATGTTTTGATGGAATATCAACTCCCATAAGCACCATTAAGACTAGGTGTTTAGTTAGTCTTTATAATTGACACCTTCTCTCCCCTGCAAACAGTATGGATAATTTTTTGAATTTTGTTAGCTCCTTAACTCTAGCACAGTAGGATTTAAGGGGGTTTATCTTTTTGGCTGCTTTACAGGTTTTTGCACAGTTAGCTTCATGTTATTTTCATGTTTGAAGCAACTTTGTTTTTAGTTGTAACCATTGCATCTTCTTGATGCCTTTCTAATGCAATTTAATTACTTCACCAAAAAAAAAATACATGGAACTAGAGAGGAGATTTGATGAGAGATTATCTATTTCTTTTTATTGGTGTAATGAGAAAGACATACCTTCCTAATCTTGATGCAGACCATTTCTTGGTACCATGAGAAATTGGCTTGTTTAATTGCAAATTTCCTTTTGTGATAATAGAACTTTCGGGCTTTAGTTTCTTGAGTTCTATGGTTTAGGTGCCACTAAATAGAGTTAAAATGTTTTGAAGATCGGGGGTGATTAGCAATATGAAGCAGCAGTAGAAGAAAGAGACAGGGTTTTCTAGTAGATGAACGGTAAAAATCTGTTGAAAATAATGGAATACGTAGATAATATGAAGTACAAAAACTGTGTCACATCTGAGCATTCATGCATCTTCTTGATGTTTTTTAAATACAACAACTTACTTCATCAAAAAAATAAAGAACTGTGTCACAGCTGAAACCACCCCTTAATTGTTGGGAATTTCTCAATTGACTGAACTATGATAAAGAAAAGGAAGCTTATGTTATTTTTGGTCTCTTTGCTAATTCCATGTCAAATTAACTTCAATCGATTAGTCAACTATGCCTCAAACCCAAACTATGTTGGTTTGACCAAGGAACTTGAATAACTTAATTTACAAATATTTGTTTGTGTAGGTTAAACTTTTTACAGTCTGATATCTGTAAGTCAAAAGCTACAGAAGATTTTATCAATAGCTACTCAATCTCTTTCTTTGAAAATCTATAAATTTGAAAACAAAAAATGCAAACCAAGAAGACACTAAAGTGTAAACTGGACACATTTTTCATAGTTTGGGAGTTCAAAAACTTTTGAAGTTTGGTTTTCCTGTGAAGTTCCTTTTTCCTAAGTAGTTAATGGACTGGTTCTACTGTCTGTTGTTTCGTTACTACCTATTGTGTCTTGTACTTCATTACATCTTTTTCTAGTCTGTTTTTGTCTTGAGCCAATGGCCTATCGGAAATAGCCTCTCTACCTCACCTTTGAGAGAGAGGTAAGGTTTGGGTACACTCCACCCTCCCCAAACCTCACTCTATAGGAATACACTTTGTTGTTGAGTTAATGGACTGGTCTTCATCCTCGGATATGTTTAAGCTCGTACTTAGGGTTTAGCATGATGTTGATGCGGCTCTCTTTTCCTAGAAGCTTCCATTTATTCATACTTTCTTTATTTTCATCTAGTTAGGAACAACATAGATCTTGATACATATACACCTCCTCAAGAGCTGCTTCAAATTCTTCCTCCCAAATCAACAATCAGGGGATCAAATTGTGGCCCTCAAATTGGACCAAACAATCCCAAATTTGCTTTGGTATGTTTTTCCTTTTTTCATGTCCTTAAGATAAATTACTTCTTACTGCCAAATGTAGTGATGTTTTCTTGGTTGTCGTTCTTCTTTAATCCATAGGGAATGCAAGCTTTACTGGACCTACTTTTTGCTGTTGAGGGCTCGGTATCAGATGCTGCAAAAAAGTTGGGGTAAGGGTTTGTGGAAATAAACTCCATTTTATTGTAAAGTTAGTCAAACTTGCTCTGCTTGATAGTGTAATTCCATATATCCTTTGTTTCAACTAAGGCAGTTTAACAAGTTAGGCTTCCTACATAGATCCCTTAAATCTTGGACTCCATTTGGGAAGCAGGGTACATTTATTTTGCTGAACTTTTTTTTTTTTACAGGTTGAGCACAGGGGCTTTATCAAGGTTGCTATTATCTGATGATAATCTCAGAATGGCTGTGAATGAGTTCAGAGCATCCAAGGTATGATGCATGCTTTAGATGGATATTTTAGCTCACAAGTATTGAAGCTTAGTTTCTTATTTAATTAATTGCATGTATATCTATATAATCTCCAGCTCATGCAAAAAGTGTAACGTTCTTGTGTAACATCAGTTCAAATCACTTGTAGAGATATACACATCAGCCTGAAACTGGAAGAAAGGCATGTAAGGTGGAGTTGAAATATCAGTATAGCCTTCTCCTCCATGAAACAGATCTTACTGCTTACAGCTTGTTTTCATGTTGGAGAGACACACAGTACTGTTTGGGGGATGGTTTTTTGTCTTTAGAGGATGAAATGAATGCCAAATTATGGTTTAAGGGATTCTTAGGATGAGTAATGGCTTATAGATGGTTAGGGTTTGAATAGAATGAGAAAGAGGTTCATTATATCAGAACAGCGCTGGGTATCAGCCTTATGTCCTTTGGCATTATATCATAAAGTTGGACTTTGTCATACTTGTGTTCTCAGACATTACATCATAATGTTTGACTGTGCCATAGTACTAGATCCTAGCACAGCAATCTTTTTGAACTCTCTAATCTCTAAACTTCAAGAATTAATAGCATTGTAATATTTTTTTTTGGGTAGAATTCTTATAGTACATTTGGGTGCAATCTTACCTGTGAAGGAATGTCAAAACCTGCTCAGAGAAAAATTATCACATCTGTATACAACTTTAAGACAGACTTGAATTACTCATCACGACTTTGAACAGGAAAGAAATCTGCATCTTTTGAATAAAAATTGCAGAGAGTAATAAGCCATATAACAGATTGTGCCTTATCAATCTTCTTATTAAAAGTAAGTCAAGTTTCACACAAATAGCTTAAGTGATATAAACCATTCTCATAATCCCCATATGTTACCGCATACACAAGGGAGGGAGGGGCAAGTACTGATTTCTCACCCTTGGATGTGATATAAAAGGGTTCCAACACATGTTAGGTGTTTGCACTAAGTGGAGAGTTGGCAAATATAGAGTGTTAATAAAGATTCAGCGGATGTCGATTTTTCCAGCACCAAAAGAAGTAGGGGAAGGTGGTGATCAAGATGGGTTTATGGAAAAGTTGAGGGGAATAAAGCGGATAGGTGAGTGATTCAAGGTGCTCTCGCATTCAAAAGGTTGTGTAGAGGCTTACTGATCAAACCAAGTAGGGATGGCTAAAGTTGGAGATATGGGACTTGGGTGGAAAGGAAGCCCGAGAAATTGTGATTCACAGGTGGAAGACAGGGATGACCACACCAAATAAAAGGAAGGTAAACTGTTGAATCTACTTCAAGTGACCCAACTTGGAAAGATGAAAAAAAAAGTTAAAAATGGGAACCACAAATCTAGTAATTGAATAAAAATGTTCTTTTTAGTGTTTCTACCACTTCATAAGATTCTATTACAAAACCAAGTGAGTCGAGAACCCTGAGGTTTCAGGTTCATATTCCAGCAGAGGCAAAAATACCAAGTGATTTCTTTCCATATGCCCAAGTCTTTGTGGACAGAGTTACCTGATTCTTGTTCTGGTGGGAGATAGTAGGCACTTGTGAATCAGTTGAGGTGCACACAAGTTGTCCCACACAACGGTTATAAAATAAAGATTTTATTTCAGTGTCAAAATTTAGTACGTACCTTTCAAATCTTGAAAATTGAAGAATAATGTATTTATACTTCTAGTCATCAACACACTTCATAAGTTCCAATTTCAACATTGAATTGAACAATGGTAGTGGCATCACATGCTTTTCTTGCTGAAAATTTGTTATGTTACTGTGTAGGGTATAAAGCCTCTAAAATAGGACTCGTTCGTGATGTTAGCATCCTCGGGTACTATTGCTCTTCATTTCCATTCGCGATAGCAAGCTTCAGGTGCTGGTGGTGGTGGCAGTTTCAGATTCATACAGTTGCATAAACAATGTATGCTTATTTACATTTGTTTCGGGAAACAAGTAGTGCTAGTGAGTCTGACTATGTTTTGGCATTAGGCTTGCTGCTGTGTTTCTCAAGCAAGGCAGATGGTGTTGTGCATTGGTGGCTGGAAAAGTCCAGCAAGATCTGATTGTAAATTCCTTTTTCTTCTTGTTTTCGTTGGTTTTATGTTGGTTTACATTGTGGATTAATTACTGATTAGGGTGATATTGAATGGACAAAATAATATATGGTGTATATTTGAGATAGCTTCCAGGGATTAGTTATTGATTACTTCTCTGATGTCTTGACTCTTACGTTTATGCCAAATGTACTTCAAAAGATGTGCCATCTTTTGTGAATTAAAGAAAAAGAAGCAAGATAAAATGCAATGATTATTTAAATTGTTGTAGCAGGTTGTTCGTCTTATAGGGTATGTTTGGTATGAAGGAAAACATTTTTCAATTTTCTGATGTTTGGTTGGGTAAAATGTTTTCCAAATCAACTCATTTTCTTCAAATTTAAGGAAAATGACTTTCCTTAAAAAATTAAGAAAAATATTTTCCAAAACTCTTCTTCAACTTCATATTGCAATTTTTTTTTGTTATGAATAAATAAATTTAAAGCTTATTTTAAAAAAAATATTTTTAGCTTCAATTTTTTTATTTTTTTACCCCACCCTCACCCTACTCCCTCCCCAAAAAAAAATAAAAATTTTAAGTTTGTTTTTAAAAAATATTTCCAATTTCAAATTTTTATTTTTTAACTTCACCCCCCATCAGACCCCCACCCCCTCCAAAAATAATTAAGTTTGTTTTTAAAAAATATTTTCAATTTCAAATTTTTAATTTTTCACCCCATCCCCACCCCTACCGCGAACTCCGCCTCCAAAAAGGAATTTAAGTTTGTTTTTAAAAAATATTTTTAATTTCAAATTTTTAATTTTTCACCCCATCCCCACCCCTACCGCGAACTCCGCCTCCAAAAAGGAATTTAAGTTTGTTTTTAAAAAATATTTTCAATTTCAAATTTTTAATTTTTCACCCCATCCCCACCCCTACCGCGAACTCCGCCTCCAAAAACAAACATGAAAAAATAAGTTCAAAATCTACTTGTTTTCCAGGAAGACATTTTCTAGGAAAACATTTTTCATGGAAAACATTTTGCTTCATACCAAAACACCAGTTTTTGAAGAGGCTGAACCCATTGGCGGCCCCTTAAAGTTGGTATCAAGTTTTACTTAGACACTTTAACTGAGCTTTGTTCATTTTGAGCACCTGTAGTAGTCCTTTGCTGTGTTATTTCGACACTTTTTTTATATTCCCAGATCCAACTTAAGCGTGTGTTGACAAACGCCTTTGCTGGAAAAATAGACCAATCTTTAAATGACAGTGTATTTTTTTTTTTTTAAAAAAGAAAAACATCACGTTTAATTTTTTCTCTCTCCAGATTTGTAATCCCATGCCCCCAGATCCCTTTTCTTCATCTTCATCTTCTTCTTCCTAAACTCCACCAAGAACATGAAAATTTCTCAACAATTTCGTTCTTCATCTTCTTCTTATTTTGTGCCTTGAAATTATTATCTTTTTCTTCTCAGTAATTTCATTCCAATTTTATTTTATTTTTGAAAAAAATTCTCTTCTCCTCCATTATCTATATATAATCTCCCCTTATCCCAACCCATTTTCTCCATTTTTTTTCTTTTCTATTATGTACTTTTTTCCTTCTTTTTTTTACGAGAAGTCATTATAATTGTAGTAGGAGATACAAATATAAGAATTTCACTTTTTTGAAATATTCATCTCTATTGTAGTTGGAGAGGAATCAATAATTATAAATTAAATAATTCAATTACTTATTTAGGTATAGTGCAAAAGAAGTGAAACAAAAAATTATTGTGTATTTTGTATTTTGTATTAGTATTGAATGATGGATAAAAGAAACAAATTTGATTTTCAAGAAAGAAGAAAAAACTAAGTAGTGTACAAACCCAACAAAAAATATATGTTTTCTCAAAATTTGTACGGTGATGAGGGGTGGTCTATGGTGGCAGAGAGAGAGTGAGGAGCAAGAAGGAGTGAAAAAAATAATCAACGGAGGGTGAGAAAGAAGAAGAAAGAGAAAAAAAATTCACCAAAAAAGCTTCTCAAATGGGCTTATTATTCGTGTTGCATAATCACTATGCTGAGTTAGCAAAAAGTGTCCAAATGACACTGTGCAGTCCTACATAAGGTGTTTAAAATGAACAAATTTCAATTAAGGTGTCTAAGTGAAACTTTGTGGCCATCGATGGGTTTAGCCTTTTGAAGGCGTGCTATACAAGTGTCTTCCATGCTAATAACTTAATATTAAGAAGGAAAGATGATTTCAGAGATATGTTTCCTTTATTCTTTTTTATTTTGCAATCTTTTAGATCTTTAATATTTTGTTAATATCCCTTAATTTTTGTAATCTTCTGGTTCTTTTTATTTAATTTCCTTTGTATTGTAGTAATTTCTGACCCTCCTTATGTATTTAAAGATGATCAATGTAATAAACAAACTACAACATTTTGCAAAATTCTTTCATATCTTTATGGTATCAGATTAACTCATGCTCGAATGAGTTCTCGATCCTGTTCGCTCTTTTTCTTGTTAGACCACCATATACAACAACTTGAACACCAATAATGTAGCCGTGCAAACTCCAACCAATCCTACCACTAGTAACCAAAACTCAGGTATATCCATCTTTTAAACAGTCATGAATCCATTAAGTCAAGGAGGTCTACTTCTTTTCATCTATCAACTCACCGAACTGCCTATATCGCTTGCTCGCAACACTTATTATGTTACTTGACGGACTCAAGTTGATGCTTTTTGCCTTGGCTATGATCTGATTTCCTATATTGATGGTACATTTCCTTGTCCATCTCTAACTTATCCAAACTATCAATCATGGAGGCGAGAAGATGAACTTTTTTGTCATATTATTATGATGCATGTCGTATCTATCATAACCCCTTTGATTGGCCCTGCATCTTCTGCGCACATTGCTTGGACAAAATTAGCGCAACAATATGTCAACAAAGTCAAACTCGTATTTATAATCTTTGTAACTCTCTCAGCCGCCTTATGAAGGGAATCAAGTCCATTGCTCAATAACTCAATGAGATTCGAGCAATCTCATAAGAACTTGCCATTGTTGGCTCTCCCATAACATGATGAACTTGTCATCGATGATGTATCATGATACTTTTTTGATAAATGATGTGTCATGATATATTTTCAATACATGATATACCAAGATACAACATATACGTTAAATAAATCGCATACCTCTTTGATACTTTATGTTTGGACGACTTTCCTTCAACAACAATCTTGTCATTGGAAGAAGAAATGGTAGATACATTTATTGTTAATTAAATTTTTTATCTGATATGGATAGTCACAAAAGCGTGAGTTTAGGAAAATTTATAATTTAAACTTGAAAAAGAATTAAAATCATGCTAAATTGGTGGAGTCACAGTGTGAAAGAGAAATACAAATAATATAGGTGAGAGAGAAAAACATAGTTAGATACAATTTCTAATTGTGCATGGAAATATGGGATTAGGTATAATCATTTAAATTTTGCGTTAACTACTCGGGTCAGTTAAGGAATTACATATTTAATAGCAATAACCTAAATTATATCTGTGATACAATTGTGTTAGAACTCCAATATAAAAAAAATAGTAATGTTATGTAAATAGCAAAAGTCTCGTTGAATGGCCTAACATACACCTATACTATAGCATTTTATGATTTCCCCCCTCAATTTTTAATGAGGAAAATTAAAAAATAACTAAGACTAGAAACATAATTAAGCAAAATAGCTATAATTTGCTTAATTACGATTCATAGCTACATGTCAGAAGGGAAGAGTGAGGAGTGAGATTGAGAGAGGCAAGCGAGAGAGAGATAAGAGAGGAGAGAAGAGAGAGGATAGAGGAGTGAGAGAGAGAGATAAGAGAGGAGAGAGACGAATTATATTTGTATATCTGCTGGATAATTGCATATATTTAACTAGTATGTGTATGTACAATGATTGTATTTGTATATCTGCTGGATAATTGTATATATTTAATTAGTATGTATATGCATCAATGAATATAATTATATTAATACAATATAATTTGTACCTGAATAAAATTTGTATTACTGAATAAATTGTATCAGTAAATACAATGGTATCAAGTTCAATATTTGTATTTGTATAATTGATTGTTATTATTTGTATTAATGTTGTATTAGTTGTGCTAACACACACAATTTTTATCAATGAAGAAACTGTATTAGCAAATACATGTAACACCTCAAAAATTGGAAAGTCGGATTAGAAGGGAAAAAGTCACAAAAACTCTATTGAGGCAGGTTTTACGGAAGCCACCTACGGACCGTAGAAAGTTCTACAGGCCGTAGAAAGGCAGTCGTAGGACTTGAATTGATTTTTGAAAATGTCAAGTCTCTGATATTTGACTTGCAAATGGACATGACGAGTCGTAGGGTGTTTAACAGACATAGGAATGATCCATAGAAGTGATCCAAACTTAGAGAAATTTTGGACTTAAACTTGGACTCTACGGATCGTAGAGTGGTCGACGATCCGTAGACGCAACTCGTAGGATTTGCCCAATATTTTAGGTCAGTAAGTGACTCTACGATTGATCAGGACTATTCGTAAAAAGTTTTATGAATCGTAGGTCAAAACCGTATGAGTCATTTGGTAGTTTTTAAGTTGGGGTGTTTTGGTATTTTCTTATCCAATTAATCCCTAAACTATGTCGTTTTGGCCCTATAACTACTCCCATAATCATTTTTAGTCTTAATACTTAGACTAATTCCTCTCATTCACTAAATTCTCTTAAATTCCTCAAGTCTTCTTCTCCAAATTCTCTCAAGAGCTTTCAAGGTGGATGTTAGGGTTTCAAGCTTCAAGGTCTCATTCTCCTTGCATTCTTAGGCCTTTGATTATCAAAGTATGTGGGAATTCACCAACGGATTCCTTTCATCCATTGGGTCCCAAAAGAATCTCAATCTTCTAAATTGATTTCACCCAAATTCTTGCTAGGAATTTACGCAAATCTTCATAGGTTCTATTTATTATGATTCAATTATTTTTACTCAATCTTATTATGTACGTTTTGATTCAATTACATGATTTTCAATTGAATTCATAGGGACCTATGCCCATGTCTATTTTATGAACATGAATTATGAACAAATCTTATTTAATTATGAAATATGAACATGAATTTGATTAAGAATTTATACATGTATGAAATGAATGATTTATGACTAAATGATGTTTTTAAGATAAAATATCAATGATTTGTGAAAGGTTTTCTCACACATGAAAGAAATCATGGTTTAGATGCTTAAAAGTAGAGTGTCATATGAATGAGTTTATGAAATCATGATTTTGAAAGGAGCTACTCTAATATGAATTTATGATAAGATTGGTAATGTTGTCTTTCTAAGTATTTTGATATGATTATGATTATGTCTTTTCCGGTGGAATTTACTAAGCACCGACATGACTTTGGAATGGAGATCTTACTGTTAGTAGAGGTATGGTCTTTAGTGGCAATTTCCTTGTCCCAAACTATATACCCCGTAGGATCGTCTTAAATGACCTAGCTAGTGGATCCACCATAGCATTAATGAATGAGACGAGTGCTACCTTGGCAAGTAGATTCCCCTTTTCGATACGAGGGCCATCCCGGATTCCATGTATAGCTCACATGGTGTTATTGTTGTTTAATGGTAAACATCCCACAAATGAACCTATGTTTTTATTCAAAAGTCTTTTCAAAGCTTTCCTATGATTTTCAATATGCATTGACCTTGTTAATGACTCATATTTTCTCTTTAAAGGTTTCTCCTATGTTTTATTTGGTCATGCATATCATGTTTAAGGTTCATCCTATTATCATGCGTATGTTTTATGCATTTTTAGATACTTAGTACATTCAATGTACTAATACATATTTTTTCCTATATATATATTGTCTCATAATATTGGGTCTGATGCTCCTCCTCTAGGACATGCTTAGATCAGGATTACTCATCTTTCATCACTTTGAGTGGTGAGTCCTCATGGTTCGAGTGTCAAATCATACACTTTTATTGTTTTTGTGGTCGTTTGGGGTTTCAGACTTGTACGTAGTGTATGAGTTACGCCCCAACCACTTCTATGATGTTAGAAAAGCTATGTGAGACACAATTTACTTTTCCACATTTATATTCAGATTCCTTATATGACATAAGATTTATATTGCCTATTCTCCCTTATTGTACTTCTTGTACGTCATGCTTATGTCAAGTGGCTTGTTTAGGGTCTTTCGGGATCATATTCGTCATGTCACGTCTAGGGTATACTTTGAGTCGTGACAATACAATCGTATCAATACTGGATCATGTTCAACATTTGTATTTGTATAATTGGTTGTTATCATTTGTATCAACAAATACATACATATTTGTATTTTGTATCACTAAAAAGGATATGTATAGTTGACATTTATCATTGTATTTATATAATTGATCGATATCATTTATATTTATATAATTAACTATTAATATTTGTATTTATATCATTGATTAATATAATTTGTATTTGTATTGAGAGAGAGAAGAAAGAGAGAGGTGCGAGAGAGAGAGGCAGAGAGAGAAGAGATGCGAGGGAGAGATAACAAATAGAGAGGAGAGAGGTGAATGAGAGTGCATATAGAGGTGAGGGAGAGCAGAAGAGAGGTGAGAGAAAATAACTATAAATTCCTAACTTTAACTACAAATTATAATTATTTCAAACTATAGTGATGTATTATATATATATATATACCTAATTACACAATTTTCCCATATTTGATATTAAATCCATTTCAACCTAACTTACTTCGATCCAAATAACTTTTGGAGGCCCTCAGCCCACTCAAATTCATGTCAATCAACTCATTTGACAATCAAGGCCAAACTGTTCAATCGATCTCTTTATATTTTGAGAGAAGTATCGAAAACACTCCTGAACTTGACGTGAATTATTGTTTCATCCTTAAACTATTGACAATCTTAAAAACACCCATCTACTTGATTAACTCAACTTAAATAATAAAATACCCCCTATTTTCCATATGATATAACAAGTGGTGTCAAACTCTTGTATGAGCGTGAGGCTCTTAGTAAAAAATCGAGAGAATTGTTGAAAATCACCTAAACTTGGCAAGAATTTAGGGGTGTATTTCACCCATGTGACAAAATCATGCGTGTATTTAAATTCAGTTAGTAAAGTATACATACGGATGTCAATGGGGTGGTGCGGGTTAAGCTTAACCCGCAAAGTTTTTAATCCTCCCCTGCCCCGCCCTGCATAACAACTTTTTTTTCATTTTCAACCCGCCCGCATAATTTTTTCAATATTCTTTTTTTCCATTTAAGTTTGATACTAAAATAAAATTCATAAAAACAAATTCATTTAATAGGATAGTGACTTCAAAATTTATTTTCTAGAGGTCAATTAAGAAATATGTAAGATTTTTTTTTAATTATTGATTCATTCTCATTTACTATGTTGAATATTTTAATAGCTTTAAAGAAATTATCTTAGATAATGCTCTATCACTCTTAATATATCATAAAATTACATATACCCGCAACCCCCCGCTCTATTTTAATTTTAAAAAAACCGACTTCAACCCACCCCGCATCTCACCCGCTCCACTCCACATGGCCTTAAACCCACCCCGCCCCTTTGCTTATAAAACCTTTTGAGTTTGCACACAAAACCCTATTACTATTACTTGTTGCTGCTTATGTTGGCCCTTACCACTAAACCCTATTGCTTGTTGCTGCTTATGTTGGTCCTTACCATTCTGTTATACAGAGAAACCGCTGTCGAGTCTGATAAAAAAATTTGGTCTTCTCATGCTCCACAGCGTTTCTCTGTATAACCAAATGTTTTAGGGTCATTATTCTTTTCTGGATCCTCAACCCTTTGCAACTTTTTTGACGTCCTGGTAATGGTATCATTAAGAAAAAACATTCTTTTTTCTCAATTGCTGTATGTTTACTTGCTTTCGATTGAAATCTTGAACACTAGTGTGATGCTATTTTCATATGCATATGATATTTATTCTGTTATTAGTCCATTTTTGTATATTAATCCTAGGGGCAGCAGCATTAGGTATCTTTGCTGACTATTCAGCAATAGCCTGTTGAAATACACCATAGCTTTACCCTGTGGGAAGCGGCTACCGATTTCCCTTTGTCATAACAAAAAAATACACCAATAGAAGTAATGTAGTATGATTTAGCCCAAAACAGGATTTTCTGAATAACTGTTAGGCAGGGATGATCACTGGGTTCTACAGTCCTGTGGACTTATTAAATTTTAACTTTTAGTATACCATAAGTTGGATGACTCAACTGTATGATAATTGATCCTTTGACAGTTTAAGCCTTTATGTTGCACTGGCTATAGAACTTCTGCAAAGAATGATTGGGAAATTGCAAGGTATTAATTCCAACCTTACCATAGAATGCTCCCTTTGGGGTATCATGAGTAGTTAAGGTAGGTCTTCAACATGTTGGAAATCAAGAACATTCTTTGCATAAATGAAAGAATCTAAGCATTGAAACCGTGGATAAATAGCAAGTCTAGAGTCTTCAGTGCTGCACTGAGCATTATTGCTGCAAATGTAGCCACTTAAAGAATATTTAAGTCTGTTGCCACTCAATTACTCAACTATTGTAACAAGCATGGAGGTTCTATACTTAAATTTGATGACTCACCTTATGGAAGGAGGAACAGTAGAAAAAAAGGTTTGATGAAATAGTAAGGGATAACTCAAGCAGCACGTGTGGATTGCTGTACACTTAGATGAACATTGCAATGCACTGTAATCGTTTGTATCCTAAGATTCAGGAATGATAATGGTGTATATGACCAAAACTCTCTACCTCAATAGAACTTGAAAAAAGAAAGTGTGGTGGTTCTTATTTCCGGGGAAGGATTCGTCAAGGTTATGGGTGGAGATGTATGCAATTGCAGGATTGGGGAGGGGTAGATATGGAATGTTAATTGGCATATTTGGGAAGAATGGATTCATATTCTGAGTTTATTGACTTTAAGAAGGTACAAATGATTTCTTAACATGAGAGGATGCACTATAGTCCAAGTATTTTGCACTTTGGGCGAAGGAAACAAAACGAAAGTCTGGTCAAAATACGAGAGTCCCAAGAGGATGATGCAAAACTAGTGGCAGAATTCAATGTTTGTGAGTTTAGCTGCTACGGAATACTGTGTTTAAATCTCTAAAGTTAGAACTCTTATCATTTGTACAGCAACAGTTCCAATAATTTAACAGTTTTCCAAATTGTACTGTACTTATCTTATGTTGAAAGAAGTTCAGTAACGCATTGAGATTCACAATTCGAGTTTCTTATTGATATACAACTAACAACTTTTCACTTTTTCTTCTGGTCTTAGACAAGAAGTGACTCCTTTATGTGGATCCTTATTTGTTTCAGAAAGAAGAATCTAGCAGCAGATGGGTCATATTTGTGGACGAGGCTTCCTAAGTATATTAAGACTGATGGACATGCTCGTTAGACCTGTCTCTGGAAAGAACAGAAGAAAGAGAAACATTATCTTCAACAAACATGCTTGTATGCAGAAAGTGTCCCTAGCTGGGTAGTCTTTGGACATATTTTGGAATATAGTAAGTAATAGTTATATAGCATTTACTCGGGAAGATGTCGAAAAAGACATGCTCTGCAGGCCCAGCCCTTAAGGGTCCTGGGGAGGCGGGGGTCAGGACCTGATAAACATTAAAGAACTCTTTCTACAGATTGAATACAAAGGTAAGAGTTCAGCACCTTATCATAGCTCTATTTTGTTCCAGCGGGACCGTAACATTGTGTCACTCTGACAAAAACTATATATACTTTTGTAAACCATTACTATTGATATTCAAGTGCTTCAACTTCTGTGGAATTTTTGTACAAAATTGGTTATGGTGGAGGAATTCTATTTGTCATTGATGATAGTGATGCACATAAAGAGACCAGTGGCGGAGCCAGGATTTTCAATAATGGGGTTCAAAATTTGAAAAAATAGATAGATGAAGTAGCCGAAGGGGGTTCGACATCTACTATATATACCTAAAAATTTATTTTAACCATGTATAAATCATATACTTTTCCGCCGAAGGGGGTTAGGATGAACCCCCTAATTGTAAGGTTGCTCTGCCACTGAAAGAGATAACGTCTTTTTCTCTTTACGAGTTTCTGAGGTATATGCCTTTATCTTTATCTTGGCAATTGTCAAAGTCATCTCTCTCTCTCTCTCGGTTTCTGTAGCCAATACCTAAGCAACTTTTAGTTTCTTGTATTATAACCTTCGTGGTGCTTTAGAAGAGACTTTGAGGCCTTGTTTGAACATGTAGCCTGTAGGTATGAATTAAGTCTGCACTTCAACTTTTAGTGATTCCATGGATTCATGGGCATTCAGGACACATTTCAGTACAACTTAGCTATTTTGGGGACCACAAAATCAATGGCAAATATTTCCTCAGAATATCAGATCAACCTTCTGGTTTGACTGCACTTGATAAAGGACTGTCTTGGTATCGGAAGAAGTGCTTGGACCTAAAATTTTCTGGTTGACGAATAGAGCGAAGAAGGTCATAGATTCCCTGGGTGCATGTTCTTGCACAAATTACCATAATCCAGCTCCAGATGTACAATATTACACTAAGATTATCCACACATGCTACATCAGTGAATTGCAATGCTCGAGGTTGCTTAGCTTTGCTAGTATTGAACCAGTGGTCGTTTCTGTATCGGTGTACTTGAGCTTGTAGCAACTGCAGTTTTTAACACAGCTGAAATATTTGAATTCCTTAATGATCTGAAGGTCAGTCCTTTCATTATCATTTGTTATGATTTCAGTTTTCTTTTTGGTTCTTTTTGCTGTGAATTAATGGGTTAAGCAATAATTGACCTAAATTTGCACTTGCAACCTTTTGATTATAACTGCAAAATGCTTTTGCATTTTAAATTACTTATTGAAACAAAGAGGAACCTTCTCTTTCTGATATCGTATACGATGAGTACAAAGATATTTATACACTTACCTGAGATCCCCACAAAATCAAAATAATATCCTACATATCTGCTTTTGTGATTATCATGCCCAACTTGTTACAGAGATAATCAACTCGAGTTTCATTCTATACCCTTGTAAGTAAATCAGCTAGTTGCTCTACTTGTAATATCTCCACTGCATATAGGAGAACAACTTAATCTCCACTGGATATACTTACAAGGACATTGTAAGTAATATCCATTAGATATACTCAAGTTTTCCTGAATCTTCTCGGAATAAATGACAATGGAATCGAGGCAATATGAAGAGCAACTTGATTATCACACACCAAAACTTTGTTGGGTTGAAGCATTTACACTAAAAACTCTGGTGTGATAATCAAGTTGCTCATCAGACACCTCAAATCCAATGTATCATGAAAGAACTAAACATCCTACACCAGTGTATCAGTAAGCACTATAGATGACATGTGATTAATCAAAAAATTAGTTGTGGAAATCACATTAGCCCATAATTGCTTACGTTTGGGACGACAAAGCATGAGCAGTCTCAAGGAGATGTCTATTTTTCCTCTCAGCCACTCCATTTTGAAAAAGTATATAAACCCGGCGAGGATTGATGGAAAATACCGTGTTGATTCGTATTGTTTTGAAATGCTTCTAACATGTATGCTTTAGCATTATCACTCATCAATGTAGGTAATAGTTAACTGTCTTAATCTCAACACAATAGGTAGAAAAATAAGAAACACCTCAGAACAGTTCTTCTCAAAATATTTTGCTGTCATTTGGGAAAAGTTCTATGCGAAAGTAACAAAATATCTAAACCCAAGTTTAGACACAGGAAGATACAATCCCCAAATATCTGAGTGAACTAATTCAAAAGCAAAATCAACTACGAGGAATATATGTACTACTTTATGCAAAAACTAAAATAAATGTGTTTACACATATTTCCATTCAGTGTGATATTCAGAGAGTAAAACTACAAGTTTGTTCTTTTTGAATTCCAAACACTCTTCTCCAAGACTGTTCCCATTACTAAAAATCCTCAAGTTACACTGTTCAATCACTTACAATGTTCTCTGGCATTGTAGGTTAATCGAAGAGCCACTATTTCAATATACAATGAAAAAGTTGATTCAATTCTTTAACTAAGCTTTAGTGCAACTCAAGATGCTAAGCACTAAAGTTGATTACATTTATTAAACAAAATTTTCTATAGAAGCTACTGCTATCGAAGATCGATGCTCAATTGTTCATACCTAATAATGGCTTTGTACCCCTATAATAGTACACATTCTACTACATCATCTTCATTGCCATCATTTTCCTTACATTGATGAACCCAAAAAAATAAGTAAGAGATTCACTTATTCTCCGGAATAACATTTTCCAAAAAAACATTTTAGAGACATTCTTATCATTTGGTAGATCCAAGTCCATGGCCTATTTCCATGGAACACATTTTCCTTGGTATCGAACACACCGTCAGAACTTTGCTCTTTTATCAAGGAGTTGATATCCCCAGCTCTGGACCTCACTTGTGGGGAGTTCATTGGGTATGTTATTATTTGAGTTGATATGCCCTGCTGAAAGTCTTTGTGGGTAGGGAGTATAAGAATGATCCACAACTGCCGGCAAAGATGTAACATTACCATGTTGATCTCAATATAACAGATGTATTCCTATCTTCTTTACTACTATACCTTCGGTAGTGCCATCCTCTACTGTTATCTGTTCCCCGCCTTTGATCTCCATGCCGTTAAAAGGTTTATCATTTGAGTAAGATATATGTAATATAAACATGTTACTTTTCCGTGACTGTCAAGTATATCAAAAGGC